TTAACATTTTAAATGTCAAAACTTTTTAATTTTTATTTTTTTCATATTTATTATTACAAAAAATATATAATTTATATATTTAAAGGTATAAGTTAGAAAATTTAACTTTAAAATTTGTATATTTATAATTGAGAATAAAAAGTATTAAAGCATCTAAAGATTAAAAATAACAAAATATTGAATCACATCTATTAAATTAAATATGTGAAGTATAATATAAGAGTTAATTTTATTAAATTTATCATATGTGTTTTTAACATATATTTAAAGGTATAAGTTAGAAAATTTAACTTTAAAATTTGTATATTTATAATTGAGAATAAAAAGTATTATAGCATCTAAAGATTAAAAATATCAAAATATTAAATCACATCTATTAAATTAAATATGTGAAGTATAATATAAGAGTTAATTTTATTAAATTTATCATATGATTTTTAAAATATCTTAACATTTTTGTTAGCAAAACATACTTACTTTTACTCTTCCCATTACTTTCCTTTATAATTTTAATCACCTGAATTTTAAAGACCAGTCGTTAGTCCCCAATGTTTACGTCTAGATTTTCGTTTTTTCTTTCTTTTTTATTTTTTATTTTTTATTTGCAATTAAAGAGTGATATGTATGCTTTTTTTTTGCACTCTTCTTTCAACACTTTATACTACGTAACTAGTTCATGTGAAGAGCATTTATTTATTGTTAATCCATCTTGCCTGTTAAGTTAAAAGAAAATTCAAAACCATGTATAAGTAAACCAATAATAACAAATCCATCTCGTGAATGAATCACTAACAGAATGTTGAGAAGAGGATGCAAAGAGAGTGTTGCTAACATTTACTTTGTAGTAATTTGCATTGCCAATTAACAAAAATATGGGTTTAGTCATGTCCCAAAAAATGAAGTCTAGTCCTACCTGGAAAATATGATCCACAAACTACAATCAACCCTGGCACATACAGCATGACATGAGGCTACGGTAAGACAAATTCCAAAAGGCATAAAAAGACCCAGAACAGATAAAAAATTGAAATGATGAACAAGTGAGGCACACAAAAGCTTCAAAGCAACCATAGTTGTCACTGAGCTTGTAAATTCTGAATTCCTAACGACTTGCTTACATTGTGCCGACTAAGCTGTACGTCTCTCTACTCCATAATGCAGCCATGTCTATCAGATGAATTCACCAAGGCGGTTTTAATTTGAATAAACTTCCGGGTTATAGCAAGACTGCAGCAACACATGCTGCTGTGATCAGAATCTGAACTTCAGAAACTGGAAGGTTTGCGCCACCTGCAGTGGGACTAACAGGACCAAAGGCTGAAGAAGGTGAAAGTATCCCACTGCTTCTGCTTGAACTAGAACTGTATATAGAAATAAAAGGACACGCTTAGATTGCTTGACAGGAAAAGTGAGTTCTGCAGTTTGGAAGCAATTAATAGCAAGTTCAGATTCTCACCTTCCCGTAAATGTACAGGATCCAAAACCTGCACATGGACACCACCAGTAAAATATCAGAAGGGGAGAAATTAAAAATGGTTGCATGTGACAATGTAAGATGATAAAATACCGAATGATTAACTGTAGGTTAACAGTAGGATATTCTATAATATGGTTGTCGTGCAAAGACTAGGGCTGATAACCTCATTTCAGGAGTTTGTGAGGTTATGGAATAAGAATACAGGGTTCAAGCCAGTAACAATTTTGAACACTGAGAAGGCAAACTATGTTTTGATGGCCTTTAAAAGCACCTTCTATAGCATAGTTCCTTAATCGAACATTCTGCTTTTCAAAATAACAGGTATTTCTTTAAAAAATGAGAGACTGACAAAGTTGAAGGTCTCTTTAGGATTACAGTGCATCCTAGATTTATCTGAGCACATTCACTGCTACAGGATGAGGTAACACTTGGAAATGGATTCCATGAACAGCAGGAAAAGGACTCACAATTGTCACATGACAACGGGCTTTCAATTTTCCTTGATCTATTAAATAAATTGTGTGAGAACTTACTTGGATCAGTAGCAGTTGTTGTAGCTGTTCCATCAAAATCACATGTTCCACCAACACTATGCATTTTTTGATAATAATCATTGTAAGCATAAGAAGCATGATTTTGGACAGTATCTGGAAGATAACATGACTGCCCTTGTTGGATAGCATTGCAGTTAGCCTGGCCTGGCCCACAAGCCCAGTTCAAGCCATCCAGCAACTTATCTTGATCTGCACCCTCTTTTGCCACACAAAAGATGATTGTAGAATTTCCTGTAATTCTAGTAGAACTACTCAGAGGATACACAGCACTCCCATTAGTAAAAAAGACACCCCAGTTTTTCTCTGAAACAGGTCCACGTCTCTTGTCTTCATTGAACAACTCATAAATGTATGTATTGATGGGCATGGTTGGATGACTAGGTGGACCTGAATTGTTTAGAACTCGTCGGATCAAGTTATTAGTAAAGGTAGCAGCATTTTCCAAACTTGCATCAGGTTCATCAGCTCCTCCATCCCACGGCCATCCAGTTTCTGTGACAACAATCTGAATACCAGAAAAATTGAAAGCATCTATAGAGTAATAGGTAGCATCAACCATCGCATCAAACATGCTGTCATAGTGGAACAGTGTGTTTGGGTCTACAATTTGTTTCACTGAAGGAAGTGGTCGGAAAAGAGCATATTCAAGTGGGAAAATGCCATTTCCATTAGTGTAACCATAGTAAGGATAGGCATTCAACATATAATAGGAGTTAGTGTTCTTCAAAAACTGAAGGAGCTGGTACATTGTGGAGTTCCAGGAGGAGTTGAAGGTGGCAGTAGATGGGGGAAATGGCCTGGGGATGATGTCCATGGACTGGGGGGTTGAAACTTTAACCTGAAAATTTAGATTGGAAGCAACTAGAGCCTTGTGAAGGTTATTCATAGCAGACACTAGAATTGGGGCAAGATGAGGGACTGAAGTAAGAACCTCACTTCCCACTGCAATGGCTGTAATATTGGTTGAAGGCATGTAGGATGCAACATTTTTATTTATCCAAGAGGCTGCTGTTGCAGGGGATTCTCCAATTCCCAGGACTTCTTCATTTGTGACACCAACCATTACTTCAATCCCACTGTTTGAAAAGGCTTTCAGCATGTGTGCGTCGGCGTCATAAAGGCGCACGTGAGTAATTTGATTGGCTTTGAGTACCATAACCAGATCTGAAGGTGATGGCATGGTGGAAACATCAGTGCCTATGTCCATTCCAACAAATGCTCCTGGAGGTTCAAAAATCTAAATCAGTAAGAACTGCTACAAAAATTATTCTATATTAAAAACTAGCCATTGTATTTTAAGCAATTATTGCTTTGTAATGCTTTAGAAATTCATTCTGCTCTCTCTGGATCTCATAAGGGACAAGGAAAGAGGAATAAGTGAATAACTGATTGCTTTGGATATAAGTCTATTCTCCAGCATTTTATAATTTCTAGTCCCTTTACATCATCATTGCCAGGATGTCAGATACAAAAAGTGCCACTGATCAACGATGTTGAAAGTAAAATGAAGAATAAAAAAGCAATCTCATCACTAAGGATCATCCTTCAGAAAAATCATTATTTTCATTGCATTTATTTATATAGTGACAAAGACAGCACAAGAACTTCACTATATTACCTAATGTGTTGCTGAAGAAGCAACACAGAAGCAAAAGCACACTTTGATCCCATTTTTCATGAATCATCTGATCCAATAAAACTTTAGAATGCAGTCTTGTCTGCTGCTTTTCACTCTAGCTGAGGCTTAACAACCAAAGGTCTGCAAACATAAGCAAAATGGAATATAATAGAGTATAAAATAACAAAGTTTATTAAAGTTTGACAACAAGTTAAATAATGGAGACTATTTCACTATCAGAGATTGTTAAGTTGTAAGGATTTCGAAAGAGACAGCAAGAAATTTGCAGTTGGCTGCTGGAAAAGATTTTTTTTTTTTTTTCCTATTTTAGTTAAGACTGGAAGAAAATTAAAAGTCACTGTCCTAGGAATTAATGTTTAAGATTCAAACAAGAACAGCAGATTAAGAAAACCATTATTAACAGGATGGTAGGGATAGAAAGCTGCAAGGTAGCACTAACAGAAGTAAATAACAGAAGAGGCAATGAGACAAGATTTAGTCTTCATGTACCCAACTTATTCTGTAGGGTATTGGAACACTTCTGTGTAGAACAACCAGACTACAGTTTCAAGCTCAATCCATAAGCTAAAACTTATATCGTTTAGACCAAAAGCTTTGGGCAATTTATAGTATAAAAGCTTTTCAGAGCCAAAAATGAAATCCCACAATGCCATGCTAAAGCTAAATTCCTATTGCCTTCTTTTATATAAATCATATTTCCTACTGATAACAAGTAACAGTCTCTACATAGATTTCAAGTATAGCAACTTTCCATTCAGGAAATTGAGACCTTTAAAGAGTGGAGAATCTGCAAAATCACCTGAACTACAAGAGAGCACAAGGAAGAGACGCCTCTAGGTATGTATTCTACGAACAAAAATGTCTTATATGATCTAAAAAACAAAACTTGCAAGCCAAGAGCCAATGTCCTTTGATGAAATTCGCTTTAGTCAACCAAAAGCACCCATTCAAATTGTAGTTTTACAACTTCTAAAACAGAAAGCCCTCATTTAGTCATTTCTACTGGCTTCAAGGGTAATAGAAATTGCACAAGTCAAGCTCAAGCCTTTCTTCCAAAGGTAAAAACTGCATCTTTGTAAGGGTAACAAATAAATTGCCACTTTCAAAGGTAGCAACTTTCACTCATGAAAAACCGAACTGAGTAGGGATTCCGGAAATTCAGCTGAACTATAAGAAAAAAGAAGAAGAAGAAGAAAGGAGATGCCTCACTCTTTCAAAAACAAAGTCTTTAAATGTTTAAGCTGATCTTCTGCAATCAATCTTTCTCAATATGTCGAAAAGGAAAAAGGAGATCTTTTTAATATACTAAGCTAAGTTTCAAGAATCCTAAAAACCCAAAATAATCTTTCACATTCTAAGCATATAAACCTTAAAGAACAGAATAGAACCAAACTAAACAATCCAGGGCAAGGGAAGCCAAATCCCAGAAACTGAGATGCTTGTACCCAAGAAAACATCAATAAAAACCACCCAGATGCTGATATCCCCAGAAAACAGCACATATCCCGGTACCCACATGAAAAAAAAATCAAGAGAGGAAAGTTTAGGAGTACCTATGATCCCAGATGTCCAGCCGCAGCGACTAAGAAAATCACACTCCAAAGCATAAACCCTCAAAAACCCAGACAGACAAACGTTGGTAGGACATGGAGGTGAGCACCCAATACAGAGAATCCAATAAAGAAGCTAAAAAGCCCCACAATATTCCTGTCACACGAGGAAACCAGAACATGAGAACACAGTTCCACAGCTCACTCACTTTCTTCATTAAATTAAATTAAATACAATAATCAGAAGTAGACCCCACAACTCCCCACGTACGTACATACTCAGTGGCGTTAATTAAGTATTAGAAGGTTATAAAAATAAGAAAAGAAACCTCTAATGGCGAACCCACTGAAAACCAAATGACTCCTAAGATTTACATCATTGTTTCCTACTGTTTGTCTTCCATTTGGGAAGACAAAAATATCTCTTTCCTTTTTTTTTCTCTATAAAAAAATATTTTTTATATTTAACTATATATTAAAATTAAAGTCTCAACATTTAAATTATTAAAATATTTTTAATAAATTTTTTTGTATTTATTTGTTATTAATAATTTAATAGTTTTAATATTAAGTAAATGCAGCTTAAACTGAGATACATGAAATTCATTCTATAATATGAAAGGTATCCAAGTTATTGCCTTCTGATTGGCACATGAACATTAAAAAAATGATTATATTCAAACAGAAAATGAAGTGTGCAAACTCAAAGTTAAGAGCTTTCCCTCCAAAAGGCATCAAAAGTCAAAACAGTTTTGGGGAAAAAGTCTATGAAACTTTCTTTTTCTTGATTTGATTTACAAAAATGTAAATTGTAGTTTTTTTTTTATAATCATTGATAAATAATGGATCCTTTAAATGTGCACATTAGCATTAATTAAGTATTAGAAGGTTACGTTACAGGAATAAGAGAAAAAACACCTAGTGGCCAACCCACTGAAAACCAAAGAACACAGGCCGTTATATTTCTAAAGCTTTACAACATTGTTTTATTACAGTTTGTTAGAAAAAAAAAAAATAAGAGGGAAGAAAAAATTAAGATATCATTATATTAAAAATGTTAAAATATTTAATTATAATCATTAAATATATGAAATATATTGTAAATTTTAATTTATCAAATTCATTATTTATCTATTGTTAGACGTCTTGATTTTTTTCATTTTAAGTCTGTTTCTTTTTCCTATAATATAGAAGGCATCGAAATTCTGGCCTTCTGATTGGCATGTGAACCCAGAATGAGGTATGCAAATGCAAAGTTGA